GCTTTTTCTGAGCATGGGGCTGTGCTGGCAGCCCAGAGTGCAGCCAGAGGGCTGCAGGGGGTGTGGGGTCACCGACAGTGGGGTGCCGTGGAGGTGAGACCCCATGTCCTTCATCCAGCAGCTCTGATGTCGGGCAGCCGCAGCTTGCCAGCAGCTGGCAGGAGCTATTCTGAGCCTGGATCGATGGACGAGTGCAGGGGTTTGGGTGACACCCACAGGAGGCATGTTAGGAGGAAGGCTGCAGGCAGGGAAGAGAAGGTGGGATTTTTCAAGAGATTCCCCCCCCTCCACCTCCCCACTGTCCTGAAAGGTTTCAGTGATGCAGATGTCTTTCTTATTTCCTTCCCAATGGGGATTGCAGTCTGACTGGGTCCTGCTACCCAGATGCTGTGTCCTGATTTGAGAAGCACTATCATTTCACAGAGCAGCGAAACTCCAGGATGAAGGCACCTGCAGCCAAAAGCTGTGGCCAAGACCAAGCTCAGGATGGCAATTTAAATCGGAGTTTATGGTGGCAGTGACATGCAAAAGAGCATCTTCCTCCTCCAGAAAAAACAAACAAACAAACAAAACTGTGATTATTATTCTTTGATAATAATAAAATTTTTGGTAAGAATTTATAAGGCCATTAATTCATTCATGAAGTTAGGATAATTTTAAAGCAGATACTCTAAATGCAGAACTGGTAAATTTGGGTATCAGGTAAATTCAAATACTTGAATAATTTTTCTTTTTTTTTAATGGTGTTTTCCCTAGCTAAGAGGTTTGCCTTCTCTGTGAGCACCCCCAGGGGTGTCTACCAAGGACCACAGCCCTTGTAGAAGGAATCCAGACCCCTTTCCTGGAGCAGAGCAGGGACAAAGGATGGGCTCATAAGAGACATCCATGGCTGATCACTCTCTCTGGTTCCTCATGGCCATCACTGTCCTCCCCTGAGGGTGGTCCTGGCTTATTTGCAGTGGGAGATGCTGACAGCACTTCCCTATCCAAACAGGAGTGATCACTGTTTTGACACTGGCCAATCCCATTGCGAGGGGACAGAAAGGGCTGGAGCAGTGGATTGGGATGAGGGGGAAGGAGAGACCCTTCACCCTCCTCCCAGGCTCCCCACAGAGAACAGCCACAGTCACAGCCCCCCTCAATCCCCTCCTGCCAAATTCCCTCTTGTCTCTGCTCCTCCCCCTCACCACTAACATAAAAATTAAAACTATAAATGCTGCTGGGGTGACATATTTCCCAGCGTATTCCCAGTAACGGTCTCTCTGGGTTTCTGGTTTGCTATTCAGCTCTTTAATTATTTATCTTCATAAGAAAATAGGAAAACAAAGTCAGCAAAGCAAACTTCGTGCCTGGTAGTGACACCGTGAGTTATTAAAAAAAAAAAAAATTAAAATTCCCCAATGAGTCATTTAAGATGTATTTAATCAGCTCTAACCACGGAGGCAGTAGTCATGACTAGCTGCTTACTGCTGGCATAGGCCAGGGAGGGCAAGTGGCAGGGCTGGATATGGATTTCCCTGTGGCATTTCCCAACAGGGATATTTGGGGGGAGTCCTGCCATTGGAAGCCCAAGCAACAGGGTGGGTCCGTGCAGACCCTTGCTGTTGCCCTGCAGCTCCCCAGCTCTGTGCTTCCCAGGCCTCCCACCTCTCCCGTCCTCTGCCCTGGAAGCCACCAGCCAGTGAATGCTCACTTGGGCAGCGCTTAACCCCTTGTTCTGCTGCCCCCGGAGCCAGGCACCGCCAGTGAGATGCTCTCCTCGCACGCCGCCGGCACA